AGTGCATCTCAGTCAATAATATGTGAAAAAGCAAGGCAGTTGCATGACAATTTAATTAAAAAAATGCCTGCAACTAGTGGTGATGTTAGTGAATTTAAGGCTAGCAAAGGTTCGTTTGAGAGATTTAACCCTTCCAGGGTCCGTCCCGTAGATCTACGGCTTCACGTTGAGTGTCCAAAGCGTAGATCTACCCCAAAATTCTAGCGCCGTCAAATTTAGCATGAAAATGCTCATAGGCCTACATGTGAGAGAACGGGTCTGCATGGTGGGAGTGCGCCATAAACAAAAAATCTAGGCACCCGCATAGCATTGTGGGAACGCTGGCTCAGTTACCCTTGTTCACCATGCCTCGTCACAAGGCAGCTCTCACTCCAAGGAAAATTGGGACTCTCCTGTTCCTATCTGATAGTTCTGACAGTGATGGAAGTGGAAATGAAGACGAATTCTTTGGCTTTGATCAGTTAGTGACCGAAAGGAATGACCAGGATATCGATAATAGTGCAGAAAACCCTGACGATCCTCAACCTTCTACCTCTGGTGTGGGCACTCGTCAGTCACGGTCGGTTGTACCTCAACGAAAGAGAAAACTATTATTTTCGCGTGGCCAGGCCTCTGACTTCATTAATGATGATGATAGTGATGTGGATTGTCATTTTATTGCTCTTGACGATCATTCGAGTAGTGATAGTGAGGAATCATATTCACCAGTGAAGCGTCGGTATGTACACTGCCACATGCGCTCGGGTAGTGTACCCTATGCCGTGCCCAGGGGACGGAGTACATCCCGGAGTACATCCCGTGGCCCTACACCAGGTATAGTGATAGCGAGGATGATGTGGCTACACTTGGCATGGATAGACCACAGGCATCACTAGATGGTGGTAGTGGTGATGGTAGTGCCACGGCCATGCGTGACTCACCAGCCCAGTCTGGGACCCACGCTGCTGACTCTGCAGTTCAAGGACAAAGCGGAGCGTCAGCCACCAGCCCACCACAACTACCCGCACAACCAGCCTATGATGTCCAGTATCCACCAGCAAACCGTATCTGGGATTGGCAGCAAAATCCCAATTTTGTTCCCAAGCCCCACCACTTTGATGAATCTGAAAGTGGAATTCTACCAACTTGTAACCTTGGAAACACTGCAAATGAACTGGAATTCTTTGAATTATTCTTTGACCAGCCATTGATGGAAACTATTGTCAGAGAAAGTAGTAAGTATTTTGAGTACACTATGGCAAATACGATCATATCACCACAGTCAAGACTACATCGGTGGAAAGAGACGACTGTTACAGAAATGCATTTGCTTTTTGCAACAATAATGCTTATGCCTCATGTCTATAAGCATAATATAAAAGCATACTGGTCCACAGATCAGCTAATTTCTACCCCAGTCTTCAGTGAAATCATCCCAGTGAACAGGTTTATCTTACTCTTACGTATGTTGCACTTCTCTGACAAAACCAGGCCTGACAGAAGTGACAAGTTATACAAGATTAGAAATGTTTTTATGTATCTCAAACAAAAGTTCAGCATATACTTTTATCCATTCAAGAATCTTGTAATTGACGAGTCTTTGATTTTGTTCAAAGGTAGGCTGTCATTCAAGTAGTATATACCGAGCAAGAGGAAACGCTTTGGTATAAAACTGTTTGTACTCTGTGACTGTGACAGTGGCCTGGAATTGGATATTGTTGTATACACGGGAAGTAAAATATTGAAAGATACCAAGATGTTATTGGGTATCTCAAGTGACGTAGTGAGAAGCATGATGGCACCTTATCTTGGTAAGGGGCATACATTATATACTGATAACTGGTACACAAGCCCATTACTCAGTGATTTCTTGCGAGTGAACAAGACAGATGTGTGTGGCACAGTGCGTTCTAATCATAAACATATGCCCAGGCTCAACGTAGGTGCTCGTGATGACGTGCAGGTGTTTACTGCCAATGACATCATGGCATTACAGTGGCATGACAAACGAGATGTCACATTGTTGACAACCATTCACCGTAATGAAATGCAAGACAGTGGCAAAGTTGATCGAGTGACTAATGAACGTATTCGAAAACCAGTGACAGTGATTGATTATACACAAAACATGCGCTTGGTTGACAAATGTGACATGAAGATTGGCTTTGTTGATTGTGTTCGTAAAAGTTACAAGTGGTACTTAAAACTTTTCTTCCATCTCATGGACATTTCAATGCTCAATGCATATAATATGTACCAAATGAAGACTGGCAACAGACCACCGTATGGTGAATCTTGTTTGTCTTGTCAGACAACTCATAATGAAGTACCAGGTAACAACACCTGCTATACAACAAGGTCCTCGAACTCCTCAGGATATACCCAAGTGTTTGAGGAGGGAAGGTGATCATTTCATAATACATCTTCCTTCAACTCAGAAGAAATTTGCTCAGAAGAGATGCATTGTCTGTGCACAAACAAAATGACGGCAGCAAAGACGCAAAGACACTCGGTTTATGAGTGAGGAATGTAAGGTACCTCTGTGCATGGTGCCTTGTTTCAAGGAGTTCCACAAGCTCCAGCAGTTCTAAAATCATGTCCAGTGATTGTAAATATGTAAATATATGATAGAACATTAGTATTATGCAAGATTTGTGCATGTTTATTGTAATAAACAACAGTGGTAAACAATAATATGATAATAACTTTAGTGCAGTTATTGTGTTCAATACAGTGAGTTTATATACACCTACCATCCGACTTACGACCGAGTTCGGTTCCGAGAAACCGGTCGTAAGTCGAAATGGTCGTAATCAACATTCTGAGACAGAGGCTCACTGAAAACCACGACCTCCCTTTACCTCTTCTAGATTTCATCAATCTAGTGGAACTTTGTGTTAATTTCAACTTCTTCAAGTATCAGGACAACTGTTACAAACAATGCTTTGGGATGGCAATGGGCAGCCTGCTCAGTGCTGTGCTTGCCAACCTCTTCATGGAAAACCTGGAGACAGAGAAATTCAGCACCCTCATTCCCAACACCGTTACCTGGCTAAGATACGTTGATGATATATTGGTTTTCTATCCGAGACGTCTCAATATCCAGGCCCTTCTCAACAAGATCAATGCAGTTGAACCATCAATAAAGTTTACACTTGAACTCGAAAATGATGGCAAACTTCCTTTCCTCGACGTTCTACTGTGCAGATCTCCCGACAGTGACAAACTTCTCTTCAAAGTGTATAGAAAACCTACCAACAAGGACGATCTTATACATTTTTATTCACACCAAGACACCCGCACTAAGAGAGGAGTCCTCATTGGCTTCTTCTTGAGAGCTCTTCGCATCTCCAGCCCTTGTTTTCTAGAAGAAGAATGCACTTACATAACACAAGCCTTTACACGTCTTCAGTTCCCATCTTTCTTCATCCGAGATTGCAGACTCAAGGCACAAGCTATCCTCAACAAACCGCCCATGGAACAGCCCCCTAAACAGTTCATAGTACTCCTATGTGGCGATGTTGCCACGAATACTCGCCGGGCACTTGCTATGAGTAACATCAACGTTTCCACCATAAACACATCATCTATCAAAGACCTCACTACGAAACGCAGCCCCACATCTCTAACTTCTACAGCAGGAGTCTACACTATCCCCTGTGGGTTCTGTCCCAAGAAATATGTAGGCGAGACAGGCAGAGATCTTGCAGTCTGCCTGAATGAACATCGAAATGCCTCTAACAGAGACGATGTAAGGTACGCCTGTGTCCTCCACAGAGACTCCATGGGGCATTTGATGAACTGGAACGAGGCAAAACTCGTTCTCACCGAACCAGACCTCAGACGCCGACGGTGCCTAGAAGCCTCACTAATCGCCGTCACCGACACTATAGAACGCAACACTGGAAACTACAAAATTTCAAAAACATTGGCATACATGATACTTAAGCAGCACCAACCCAACAACACAAGAGTCACATGATTTCATCGTCTACCCGTCCTCATCACAGGTAGAGGTTGTTTTGATAAGGACTTCCCTCGCATGGGCCAGTAGGCCTTCTACAGTGTTCCTCCATTCTTATGTCCTTATGACATTCCTCAGGTCACGTGCGTCACATCTCACTCTCCGCCTATATATATATAATGTCTTTCTACCTCTGTATGTTAGAAGTGATCAAGGTCCCAGGACCGAAACGTTTTCTAATAAATATGTTATAGTGTTTGCTTACATGTCTTTCTAAACCAACTTGTCGGTATTTATTACCAAGGTTTATACCATGCTTAAATGTAAACACTTGATCTACACATTCCCTACCCACTCTAAAACCTCCTTGCTCATCCACAATTCTACATTCTGCCTTACCTCTAATTCTTTCAACAATAACCCTACTGTACACTTTTCCTGGTATACTTAGTGAACTTATTCCTCTATAATTTTTACAATCTCTTTTGTCCCCCTTCCCTTTATATAAAGGGAGTATACATGCTCTCCGCCAATCCCTAGGTACCTTCCCTTCTTTCATACATTTATTAAACAAAAATACCAACCATTCCAACAATGTGTGTCTCCCCTGCTTTTAACATTTCTGTCATGATCCTGTCAGTTCCAGCTGCTTTACCCCCTTTCATTCTACGTAATGCCTCATGCACCTCCCCCACACTCACATTCATCTAACATCATCTGCTGCAGCAGATGATATTAGAATATGTATCCAATGTTGGTGGAGAGTAATGGGTATGGTTGATAAAACCATCAAAAATTATCAACAAGGTAAACCCTAAATTTTAACAGACCTTGACTTATTGGATTTAAGACAAAATCTTTGGCCTGAGAAATCAGAATTGTCCAGTAATGTCCACATCTGTTAATCATGAAAAACTATTCAACTAATCCAGATGTAATGAGCAACTGGCTTTCATGACACCCCTACCCCCTCTCCCCAATCAGTCCATTAAATCAAGGATTATCTAGAACAAAATGTGTAGCCTTATATACGTGAAAAGTAGAAAAATTAATATACCATATCTTCCATGAGCCTGCAGTTCCGTTCATTTGCAATATCTAGTGGAGTCTTGCCATTATTATTCTCTATACTGGGGTTGGCACCCACTCTGAGTAGTAGCCTCATGCATTCAGGCTTATTGGAGATGACACAATAGTGTAGAGGAGTGTTGCCCTCCCGGGTCTGGCGATCCAGTGAGTGACTGTTCTGGACCAAGAAGTCCACTAATGGAAGCGAGGCACCATTTTCTTGGTAAATTGCTACATGAAGTGCACATTCTTCAAGAGCTGTTAATGGGAGCCCTAAATCACCACCCTATAATAAAATAAAACATTAAGGAAATGTAGTTTTATACAATGCAAATATACATAAGCAATCTCAACTATATATATTTTTTAAATTATTATTCTAATTCCCATTAACAACTTAACCCTTTGACTGTTTCAGTGGTATACATACGTCTTACGAGCCAGTGCTTTTGATGTATTTATACTCCAAAATTCTAGCGGCTTCAAATCAAGCAAGAGAAAGCTGGTAGGCCCACACCGAGAGAATGGGTCTGTGTGGTCAGTGTGAGCAGTATAAAAAAAAATCCTACAACACGCAGTGCATGAGAAAAAAACCTCCAACTGTGTTTTTGGATTAAAACGCTGACTTTGAGGTGTATTTTCGTATAGTACTTACGGTTGTATTCTTATTTTCTTGGGCTCATTTGATAGAATCAAAGATATATTACAGAAATAGAGATGATTTTGATTGGTTTCACAATGAAAAGGACCTTGAAATTGAGCTCAAAGTAGTGGAAATGTTCAATTTTTGCAAAAGTTCAAGAGTAAGCAATAATACACAGTAAGTCCAATAAGTGTCCAACTACCCATTCAAATACACAGTCATGACTGGGTCGACATTATTTATACAATTATTACAATAATGCAGTAGTCTGCATAACAGTAAATCTTCTATTTAATTGTGTGAATAAAAATTCAAAATAGAAAGCAAGCATAATGTAAGAGGGGCCTGGAGATATGACTGATGAACAGAGAAAATGTTATTTTAGTGAGAGGAATGTCTGCACTGTTCATTCTGGACCCTATTTTGAAATTGGCATCTTTTTTAATTTACGTGAAATTGGCCAAATTGACAATTTCTGACCACTTTATTGGGTATTTTAAATCAGCATATGGGCAGTTTTTTGTACTCAATCGATAGAACAAATGGAGTTCTAAAGAAACAGCTCTGAGTTTGGTTGACTGGAACAATGGAATTGGCTGAAAATATGGCTCAAAGTGGGTGAAATCACTGTGTAAACATAGCCAAGATCGCTAATTTCGTGAGAGCGTAATTCCGTAAGTTTTTCACCAAATTTCATACTTTTGGTGTCATTAACATTGGGAAAAGATTCTCTATCATTTCATAAGATTTTTTTTTTTTTTTTTAAATACACTTTAGGATTTGAGGTCGCGACAGTCAAAGGGTTAAAAGCCATTCTGAGAATGGTAAATTTCAATTGTCCTGTCATTAATAGGGCCCACACCCTAGTTCTTTGCTGGCAAGTAAATTCCCTTGAATAAAAAGATTTTGATTAATTGAAAATCTTAAAACACCAACTGAAAAGACATGGTTAAGAGTGAGTGTATTAAAGGCATGGAGAATCAGATACTATATTACAGTAAATATACAAGCATATTTATATATTACATTCATTGGAAAGTGTTAAACCCATAGGAATCATACAATGCTTGGGAAACAGGTGATCAGGGTTGCCCCAAGACAAGAGAAGGTAGCTCCTTGGTCCAACAGCCTCTCACTGTCATCAAGTCATACCCCTTGAAGATCAAGAGTATTTAAGGGAAATAAAGTCAGAAGAGGAAGCCAGAACAGGAGAGAGAGAGTAACGGCAAAAAATTAAGATTAGAGAAAGTGACAATAGCTTTAAAACATACTGATTATTTTTTTTTTTTGAAAATTAGTCAACTGTTGTGGGTTGCATCCTGGAGTGGTGGTAGTATACCTTAGATAGGGCTGGGCTTTGAAATGAGCTGAAGCAGAATAACAGCTCTCCCTCAACATTCACGTTTTCAACTTTCACGGGCTTCACACATTCGCGAATTCCCAACCGCCAAATTCCCAGCTGCCAAATCATATTTAAGTTTCCCGCCACCTGTGAGTCCCTACTACCCTCCCTCCGACCCCCGCAACTGGCAGCCAGCCCTCCCACCACTCAGTGTGCTGAGTGTTTTGTTTGTTCATTATTTGCTATTAAACTACAGTATAAATAATATAAACCCATTACACAAATAACCACTTTTTTTTTGTTATTAATGTAAACCCATTCATGACTGCATATTGGAATGGCTATTCGGACAGGTATTAGACGGTGACATCATGTATCATGTACGTATTTACTCTTGAGCACAGCAAAGAATCAAAAATTTCTGCTACAGCTAACAACAACAACAACAACAACAACAACAACAACAACAGCAGCAGCAGCAGCAGCAGCAGCAGCAGCAGCAGCAGCAGCAGCAGCAGCAGCAGCAGCAGCAGCAGCAGCAGCAGCAGCAGCAGCAGCAGCAGCAGCAGGCAGCAGCAGCAGCAGCAGCAGCCCGCAGCAGCAGCAGCAGCAGCAGCAGCAGCCCGCAGCAGCAGCAGCAGCAAGCCAGCAGCAGCAGCAGCAGCAGCAGCAGCAGCAGCAGCAGCAGCAGCAGCAGCAGCGCAGCCAGCAGCAGCAGCAGCAGCAGCGCAGCAGCAGCAGCAGCAGCAGCAGCAGCAGCAGCAGCAGCGCAGCAGCAGCAGCGCAGCAGCAGCAGCCAGCAGCAGCAGCAGCAGCAGGCAGCAGCAGCAGCAGCAGCAGCAGCAGCAGCAGCAGCAGCACAGCAGCAGCAGCAGCAGCAGCAGCAGCAGCAGCAGCAGGCAGCAGCAGCAGCAGCAGCAGCAGCAGCAGCAGCAGCAGCAGCAGCAGCAGCAGCAGCAGCAGCAGCAGCAGCAGCAGCAGCAGCAGCAGCAGCAGCAGCAGCAGCAGCAGCAGCAGCAGCACTAGCAGCAGCAGCAGCACTAGCAGCACAAGCAGCACTAGCAGCACTAGCAGCACTAGCAGCACTAGCAGCACTAGCAGCACTAGCAGCACTAGCAGCACTAGCAGCACTAGCAGCACTAGCAGCACTAGCAGCACTAGCAGCACTAGCAGCACTAGCAGCACTAGCAGCAGCAGCACTAGCAGCAGCAGCAGCAGCAGCAGCAGCAGCAAATACGATATAATTGAAGAAGGAAATTGTACAAAAATACAAGGGAGTGGTTGACACATCGTCAGTATGGCTTTGTTTATGCTGGAGTGAGCATTAGTCTCCTTGCTCTTCCACACATTTCACAATAATTCATTGTGTTTGGTGCTTGCAGATTGAGTGTGACTGGAGTGGTAGAGGCAGAGGTTGAGGCAGCGGTTGAGGCAGTGGTTGAGGCAGCGGTTGAAGCAGCGGTTGAGGCAGCTGTTGAGGCAGCGATTGAGGCAATGGTATTTAATAACAATGTTATAACACATATGTTATAAATAATAACAACATATATATAATAATAGTACATGTTATTAATAACAACATGTACTATTATTATTTATAACATATATGTTATTAAATACCACTGCCTCAACCTCTGAATTATTGTGAAATGTTTGGAAGAGCACGGAGACTAATGCTCACTCCAGCATAAACAAAGTCACACTGACGATGTGTCAACCACTCCCTCGTAATTTTGTACAATTTCCTTCTTCAATTATATCGTATTTATTATTATTATTATTTTTTTTTTTTCAACAAGTCGGTCGTCTCCCACCGAGGCAGGGTGACCCAAAAAAGAAAGAAAATCCCCAAAAAGAAAATACTTTCATCATCATTCAACACTTTCACCACACTCACACATTATCACTGCTTTTGCAGAAGGTGCTCAGAATACAACAGTTTAGAAGCATATACGTATAAAGATACACAACATATCCCTCCAAACTGCCAATATCCCAAACCCCTCCTCTAAAGTGCAGGCATTGTACTTCCCATTTCCAGGACTCAAGTCCGACTTATGAAAATAACGGTTTCCCTGAATCCCTTCACTAAATATTACCCTGCTCACACTCCAACAGATCGTCAGGTCCCAAGTATCATTCGACTTCCATTCACTCCTATCTAACACACTCATGCACGCTTGCTGGAAGTCCAAGCCCCTCGCCCACAAAACCTCCTTTACCCCCTCTTTCCAACCCTTTCGAGGACGACCCCTACCCCTCTTTCCTTCCCCTATAGATTTATATGCTTTCCATGTCATTCTACTTTGATCCATTCTCTCTAAATGACCAAACCACCTCAACAACCCCTCTTCTGCCCTCTGACTAATGCTTTTATTAACTCCACACCTTCTCCTAATTTCCACACTCCGAATTTTCTGCATAATATTTACACCACACATTGCCCTTAGACAGGACATCTCCACTGCCTCCAACCGTCTCCTTGCTGCTGCATTTACCACCCAAGCTTCACATCCATATAAGAGTGTTGGTACTACTATACTTTCATACATTCCCTTCTTTGCCTCCATAGATAACGTTTTTTGACTCCACATATACCTCAATGCACCACTCACCTTTTTTCCCTCATTAATTCTATGATTAACCTCATCCTTCATAAATCCATCGCCGACACGTCAACTCCCAAGTATCTGAAAACATTCACTTCTTCCATACTCCTCCTCCCCAATTTGATATCCATTTTTTCTTTATCTAAATCATTTGATACCCTCATCACCTTACTCTTTTCTATGTTCACTTTCAACTTTCTACCTTTACACACATTCTCAAACTCATCCACTAACCTTTGCAATTTTTGTTTAGAATCTCCCATAAGCACAGTATCATCAGCAAAAAGTAAATGTGTCAATTCCCATTTTGAATTTGATTCCCCATAATTTAATCCCACCCCTCTCGCGAACACCCTAGCATTTACTTCCTTTACAACCCCATCTATAAATATATTAAACAACCATGGTGACATTACACATCCCTGTCTAAGACCTACTTTTACTGGGAAGTATTCTCCCTCTCTTCTACACAGCCTAACCTGAGCCTCACTATCCTCATAAAAGCTCTTTACAGCATTTAGTAACTTACCACTATTCATAAACTTGCAACATCTGCCACATTGCTCCTCTATCCACTCTATCATATGCCTTTTCTAAATCCATAAATGCAATAAAAACTTCCCTACCTTTATCTAAATACTGTTCACATATATGCTTCAATGTAAACACTTGATCTACACATCCCCTACCCACTCTGAAGCCTCCTTGCTCATCTGCAATTCTACATTCTGTCTTACCTCTAATTCTTTCAATTATAACTCTACCGTATACTTTTCCTGGTATACTCAGTAAACTTATTCCTCTATTAATTTTTACAATATCTTTTGTCCCCTTTCCCTTTATATAAAGGGACTATACATGCTCTCCACAATCCCTAGGTACCTTCCCCTCTTTCATACATTTATTAAACAAAAGTACCAACCACTCCAACACTATATCCCCCCCTGCTTTTAACATTTCTGTCATGATCCCATCAGTTCCAGCTGCTTTACCCCCTTTCATTCTACGTAATGCCTCACGTACCTCCACCACACTTACATTCTGCTCTTCTTCACTCCTAAAAGATGTATACCTCCCTGGCCAGTGCATGAAATTACCGCCTCCCTTTCTTCCTCAACATTTAAAAGTTCCTCAAATATTCTCGCCATCTACCTAATACCTCCCTCTCCCATCTACTAACTCCCCTACTCTGTTTTTAACGGACAAATCCATACTTTCCCTAGGCTTTCTTAACTTGTTTAACTCACTCCAAAATTTTTTCTTATTTTCATTAAAATTTCTTGACAGTGCCTCTCCCACTCTTTCATCTGCTCTCCTTTTGCACTCTCTCACCACTCTCTTCACCTTTCTTTTACTCTCCATATACTCTGCTCTTCTTATAACACTTCTGCTTTGTAAAAAACCTCTCGTAAGCTACCTTTTTCTCTTTTATCACAACCTTTACTTCATCATTCCACCAATCACTCCTCTTTCCTCCTGCCCCCACCCTCCTATAACCACAAACTTCTGCCCCACATTCTAATACTGCATTTTTAAAAACTTTCCAACCCTCTTCAACCCCCCCACTACTCATCTTTGCACTAGCCCACCTTTCTGCCAATAGTCGCTTATATCTCGCCCGAACTTCCTCTCCCTTAGTTTATACACTTTCACCTCCCTCTTACTTGTTGTTGCCACCTTCCTCTTTTCCCATCTACCTCTTACTCTAACTGTAGCTACAACTAAATAATGATCTGACATATCAGTTGCCCCCATAAACATGTACACCTGGAACCTCCCCATAAACCCTTTTTATCCCCAATACAAAATCTAACAAACTACTTTCATTAGTGCTACATCTACCTTTGTATATTTTTTTATCCTCTTTTTCAAAAAATTGCATACTTATTACCAATTTTCTTTTTACACATACTCAATGTGGGGTAGTGGAGGGGAAAGCAACCCCCCGGGGGTACTCCCGTCCCCCAAGGAGGAAAACGAAAGCCTGAATTTGTTTTACATGATGGTAGGATTGTGGTGTCCTTTTTTCTGTCTCATGAAATGAAAGATTCGGTACGTCTTGCTACTTACTTACCTTAGGTACACTGCACAACATGTACAACGTAATATCATACCCCTCTGGGTTTTTTTCTATTTTCTTTCTAGTTCTTGTTCGTTTTTTTCCTCTTACTCCATGGGGGAAAGGAACAGAAATTTTCCTCCTAAGCTGCGTGTTGTAAGAGGGGACTACAATGCGGGAGCAAGGGGTAGTAACCCCCTTTTCCTGATTATTACTAAATTTTAAAAGGGGAAATTTCGTTTTTTCCTTTTGGGCCACCCCGCCTTTGGGGGGATACGGCCGGGGTGTTTAAAGAAGAAAGAACTAGCCAATTAAAAACTCCCCCCTTTACATTTCCCCTGGGCCCCCAAAAATTTTCCCATACTCCCTCCATAACATTTTTACCCACTTTAGCATGAAATCCCCAACCCCCCATTTTCTCTCACACTTGATTTAAAAATCCCCCCATTCCCAACATTTCCCCAAAAACCCCCTCTTCCTTACATTCTTTCTTTCCAGGTGCATACACGCTTACTATAACCCACTTTTCACACCAATCTTTATTTTACTCCCATAATCTTGAATTTATCATTGTGTCCCTCTTTTCCCATAGCTTATCCTTCAACATTATTGCTACCCCTTTTTTTAGTTAACTCTATTTGAAACCCCCGACCTAATCCATTTATTCCCTCCATTGAAACCCCCACCCCCCCTTTAGCTTTGTTTCCTTAAAGCCCGGGCATCCGTTTTTTCTCATTCATAAAAACCAAATCATCTCTTTCTTATCATTTGCCAAAAAACATCCCGCACATTCAGACTTTCCACTTTGACAATTTTCTTCTTCTTATTCTTTTAGTAATCTTTACAGGGAAAAGGGGGTTACTAGCCCATTGTTCCCCCGGGATTTTAGTTGACTTTTACAACACGCATGCTTACGGAGGAAAGATTCTTATTCCACTTCCCATGGATATAAAAGGAAAAGTAAAAAAGACCAAGAACTATTAAGATAAAATCAAAGAAAACCCAGATGAGTGTGTATAAATAAACGTGTACATGTATGTGTAGTGTGACCTAAGTGTAAGTAGAAGTAGCAAGACGTACCTGTAATCTTGCATATTTATGAGACAGACAAAAAACACCAGCAAACCTACCATCATGTAAAACAATTACAGGCACTTTTCCTTTTACACTCACCTGGCAGGACGGTAATACCTCCCTGGGTGGTTGCTGTCTACCAAACTACTATTATTATTATTATTATTATTATTATTATTCTTTCAACGTACCAGCCGTATCCCACTGAGGTGGGGTGGCCCAAAAGAAAAAACTGAAGTTTCTCCTTTTAAATTTAGTAATATATACAGGAGAAGGGGTTACTAGCCCCTTGCTCCCGGCATTTTAGTCGCCTCTTACGACACGCATGGCTTACAGAGGAAGAATTCTGTTCCACTTCCCCATGGAGATAAGAGGAAATAAACAAGAACAAGAATTAGAAAGAAAATAGAAGAAAACCCAGAGGGGTGTGTATATATATGCTTGTACATGTATGTTTAGTGTGACCTAAGTGTAAGTAGAAGTAGCAAGACTTACCTGTAATCTTGCATATTTATGAGACAGACAAGAGACACCAGCAATCCTACCATCATGTAAAACAATTACAGGCTTTCGTTTTACACTCACCTGGCAGGACGGTAGTACCTCCCTGGGTGGTTGCTGTCTACCAACCTACTATTATTATTATTATTATTATTATTATTATTACTATTGTTATTATTAGCAGTAGCAGAAATGTTCGATTCTTTGCTGTGTTCAAGAGTAAACACATGATGTCACCGTCTAATACCTGTCCGAATAGCCATTCCAATATGCAGTCATGAATGGGTTTACATTATTTATACTGTAGTTTAATAGCAAATAATGAACAAACAAAACACTCACCACACTGAGTGGTGGGAGGGCTGGCTGCCAGTTGCGGGGGTCAGAGGGAGGGTAGTAGGGACTCGCGGTGGTTGAGGAAGTGGTGGAGGGATTGGTGGAGGGATTGGTGGAGGGATTGGTGGAGGGATTGGTGGAGGCAGTGGTATTTAATAACATGCATGTTATTAAAGCATAACATGTATATATTTAGTACAATTTGTGTTTTCATGTATTTTATGACTGTTCATGGTTCAACAAGTTAAGGAAGCAGTATTGTATTATATTTCCCTACAATATATTGGGGAACCAAACATTCACGGTTTTTCAACATTCGCGAGGCTCTTGATCCCCTAACCCTCGCGAATGTTGAGGGAGACCTGTACATAAATAGCCATACATGTATAAAATATCAGTATAAGTATAAATTAAACCAGATACAATATTTATTCATCTATTACACAGGCCAAAAATTCCATAAAAAAAAATGTACTTGCCTGAAAGTACACACGAAGTAGACCATAAAGATCATTACTGTTAATGACTTCTCTTAACTGGATCTGTAGTTCTTCTGGTGTTGCTGTTGTTGGTTGAACAAAAGCCCTTCGAACATATTTTGACTGAATGAATTCTCGTCTTTCATCCCTAAAATTTAAAGTCAAATATTGTATATACTGCAATATGTGCAATGGAAAGACAAGTATCTCAAATGATTAGCTATACTACAGAATAATGAAGTGAACCAAATAAAATTTATATACTGTATTGTATATATTATATATAAAGATGTATGGATATGTTTTGATTTTCAGGCAAAGCCTGTGATCCTTGGCTAATAAAGCAATGATTGTTTTGCCAGTCAAGGCAAGTGCAGGTTTACTGTTGCAATAACTAAGCAAAACCTGGTTTTATGATAATAAAATCTACTGAATTTGATTTATGTTAAATAATGTTAACTAAATTTTGATTATCCCACAATAGGTTTGGAAGGATTTGACAAAATTATTTTAAGTAAATTTTATCAAGGTTTCTAAAATAGTTTTAGAGCAAAATTTTAAATTTTTATACTGTATACCTAATTTACAAAAATATATATAGTAATGCATAAGAATTTTTAAAGATTGATTCTTAGGGTATTTTGACTTGTGTAAAAACTCTGCCTAAAAATAGCATGACATATAGTATATACATACATATGTTGGGGATTTAAAAACAAAATATTAAGTGCAAAAATATTTAAATTTCACATCAAACATTTGATAAAAGTGATATTCCAGCTATGATGTTATGTAAAATAAACAATTACATATAAGTAGTGTTAACAAAAATATGTGCGAATTGTAAAAAAAAAAGCTATTTGCTTTGAATGAGACTTAACGGCATCTGCCCATATTGAAATATGCCCAGTTGTTTATGACAGACAAAAAGTGACTAAATACACATTATGTATGGTAGTACAAAATTGTTGACAAATTACTAAAAGCTTCTAATGAAATATTTATTTTCTACTTATATTACCAACTCAAAATTAAGCAGCAATTTCTTATCTATGAAATACCAAGACAACTCATTTAATTATCTACCACTGAAAGTTGCTCCACTGTACTGGGGCGATCTATTAGGAAACATTTTTATTCAACCCTTCCCACCCCAGTCCATGAGTTAAGATACATTCGGGCAGCTGCTTTGCTACATTGTGAAATTAAATGAGCTCCCTCACACATCAGATTTCTCAAAGACATAACATTCTACATTCCTTAACATGAAGGTGGTGACTCATACACCACAGAATGTTCAATAAAGATGAAACCCTTTTTTTCTTTTATATTGTAGAGAAAAACACTTTACATGCAACACAATCACACTGTAAGCAATAATTGTACACGTCAACAATCCCTGGTTACTTTCCACCACCTCATTATCACACACATTACATCCATTTTTTAATGTGCTTATTTCTGATTAAATATACTTTTTATAGAGTTATTTAAGCTAATCTAACAAAAAAAGCAAAATCAAGAGTACAGCATTTGCAAGTTACAGGAAGCATTGAGAAACTGATCCTGGATACTGCCTCAAAAAATTTATGTAATAAAATGAGAACAGGTTGTTATATGGGTGGGAGGGAGAGTAACTTTAAGTACCTGATGCAAGTGCTACTCACTACACCTAAATTTTCCCACTAACTCATGTCACATTTTGTTTTGTTAAAATGGAAATGGATTTTCTTTAAAAATGTATAAGAAATATACAAGTAACAAAAGCTAATTTTTGTAGTTTGAACAGGACTACATGATAAGTGACCCTCTAAACTGATTACAGGAAGGTAACAGCTCATAGCATTTAAGTGAAGTGATTTACCATCAAATTCCTGCCCATATTATAGAGTTAGTTGGTATTGTACCCCATCCAAGAAAAGTGATAAGACATGTATAGCCATTAAACAAAAAAAAAAAAGGCTATGACAAAGACTATTATCTGAACTATGTTGATGACATCCTTTTCATATAAGAAAGAAGGAACACTGCAGCAGGTCCTACTGTCCCTTGCGAGGCAGGTCCAATTCTCCCACCGGCTTAAGCCAATGCCTTAACCTAGTCAGGTCAGCCACATTCACTTTAGAGAGGAGCACGGCATCTGACCTAGTAGCACAAGTTAGTCAGGTCCAACTCACACCCACCCACACCCACTTATGTATTTCTTCTTCTGCTTTCAACAAACCAGCCGTATCCCACCGAGGCAGGGTGACCCAAAAAGAAAAACAAAAGTTCCTCTTTTTAATTTTAGTAATGTATATAGAAGAAAGGGTTACTAGCCCCTTGCTTCCGGCATTTTAGTCGCTTCTTATGACACACATGGCTTACGGAGGAAGAATTCTGTTCCACTTCCCCATGGAGATAAGAGGAAATAAACAAGAACTAGTAAGAAAATAGAAGAAAACAGTGGTGTGTGTGTATATATATGCTTGTACATGTATGTGTAGTGTGACCTAAGTGTAAGTAGAAGCAGCAAGGCATACCTGAAATCTTGCATGTTTATGACACCGAGAAAAGACACCAGCAATCCTACCATCATGTAAAACAAGTACGTACCGGCTTCCGTTTTACACTCACCTGGCAGGACGGCAGTACCTCCCTGGGTGGTTGCTGTCTACCATCCCACTACCTAGGACTCGTGTATTTATCCAACTTATTTTTAAAACTACACAATATCTTATCTTCTATGATGGTACTCGGGAATTTGTTCTACTCACCCACAACTCTATTACCAAACCAGTGCTTTCCTATATCCTTCCTGAATCTGAATTCTTCCAACTTAAAACCACTGCTTTGAGTCCTGTTTATGTTAGATATTTTTAGCACGCTATTTACATCCCCTTTATTAATTCCTGTTTTCCATTCATACACCTCAATCATATCCCCCCAATTCTACGCACTCTAGAGAGTGCAGATTCAGGGTCCTCAGTCTATCCTCATAGGAAAGACTTCTGATACATGGGATCAACTTTGTTGTCCTCCTTTGTATGTTTTCCAGTGCATTTATATCTATTCTGTAATACGGTGACCAAAACTGTGTAGCATAGATGAGGCCTAACCAAAGATATATAGCATTGAAGAACAACCTGAGGACTTCTATTATTTATACTTCTTGCTATGAAGCCAAGGATTCTGTTCGCTTTATTGTGAACACTTATGTACTGTTGTTTTGGTTTCAGATTACTGCTAACCAGAACTCCTAAATCCTTTTCGCAATCCGTAATATTAAGATCTATATTACGTATTTAGTTTATATGTGGCATGGTTATTTTCCTGTCCAACATTTAAAACTTTGCATTTGTCTATATTAAACTGCATCTGCCACTTCTCCGACTGTTGCATCAGTCTATTCAAATCATCCTGGAGTACTCTAATGTCCTCATTAGAATTGGATGGCCTATTTTGGTGTCATCAGCAAATTTGCTAATGTCACTATTTATTCCCTTATCTATGTCTCCTACAAGATTTTATGTCCCTGCACTCCAACACAAGCTCAATTAAATCAAGCCATCTATTAAATTTATACTTGAAGAAGATAGAACTCTCCTTTTCCTTCATGTTATATTTGGCAAATCTGACCATGAACTACATTTCAAAGTCTACCACAAACCCACCAGCCAACGTTGTTTTCTCTACTTCTACTTGCTCCCTAACACCAAGACTAAATGTGCCATCATCACAGGTGTCTTTCTATGTGCTTTCTGTATCTGCAGTAGTGAATTCCTTAAGAATGCTCTTTCCTCTAAGTCTTTTCCAAACCTCACAACCCTAGTCATTTCATCTCCAACTCACATGGACCATTTCTCTCCAAAGTGAACAAGTCTTTTCTTTTTTTCTAAGTTTGTCAAACAGGGAGAGGACAAACATAATATCATAGGGTAGAGAGAGCAAGAGCAAAAAAATACTGCATTTACCATAATTAACAATTTACTGTTCCATATTGGGATACATACAATATGTAAATACAATACATACATACAATACTCTCCAAGTATAGTTTAACATGCTACATGACATTACTTGGTGGTAAAATTTAGCAATTTCACCAAGTGCTGCAGGGCAGGTATCAACACAAGGAACTATAGTGCTCTTCTGCTTAACATTACTCTTTAAAAATAAATATAAAAGAAAAAAAAAGTTTCATACAGATGAACATCTGTGGTTTGTAGCTGCCACCTCCAATTATTTCCAGAAAAAATTTTTATATTTTAGCATAGTGGAATAAGTGATGCATGTATGATTCTCAAAATCAGTGAGTATGGGGCTTACCATCATTTAGAAATGGCCACTCTTATTCTCACCCCCCATCCCCATATATAACCTGTCTTTATCTTACACTATGAATGACTGCAGCCCTGCTTTAGCCACATTGAAGACTGGTTGCTATGTAGCTACTTTCATTTTATGTATAATAGTGTATTATATGGGTAAACTTTTAAGACAAACTTGCACCCAATTCTCAAGTTGCAAGCAAAAACTATAAACTTAAAATCCTCTGAAATCCACACAGCAGCCCCACCCGAATGTCAACCGGGGTGAGTGAGCCAGTTTAGTGAAGATGTTCCACAATTCCTCATTCCCAGTTGAATGAAGCAACGGGCAAGTTAAGGTGTTTTCAGTGGGGTTCGCCTGTATCGAGTAAATACTTTTCACAAGAATAATTTTCAAATATTTACTATCAAAAATAGTTAGGACATACTGAAAAATTAAATAGAAATACCATGAAAATTAAGATAATTTCCTTAGAGAAGTACTTAATGATAGGAAAAGAAACCATATTAAATTCCATTAATAAAATAAGCAGTAGGGCAGCCACATGTTCTAAAGAAACCTTTACACTCGATATACTATAATCTAACTATTTAACCTAAAATATTTCCCTAAAGGTGAGTTGTGCATGTGACAATTTACTTTCATGCATATGTGCCTTCTACTGTAAATAATAAAGCATAAAAATTAATCCAGTGTATAGCTGCTGTGCATGGTTTACTTGGGTAGTAGTAGTGTTTTACATCATGCTAAATTTAGAAAATAAAACAAAACAAAAGCCAATTCTACAGCATAATCTACAAAAGTTCAAAAAAAAAAAAAAGACAGAATTCAGAGATAATGAGTGCCTTTAAGTTTTTTTTTTTTTTTTTTTTTTTTTTTTGCATTAATTCTATGGTCACTGCTCACTCGGCAAAAATTCAGCTAAAAACAAAAGTATAAACTGAACATTCACATTCACCAGCTGCTAAATTTGTCAGTCAAATTTATATATCTCTAGTGAACAAATATTCACCATGCCACATTTGCAATGCTCGGCTGTCCCAAAATGACCACTGCCACACTAACGCAGCAGATAAAGTGGCATCAGAAGCAGATCATGTACTAGACAACTAACACAGCAATAATTAAGTCAATACTGTACTTGAATACCTTGGCTTTAACATCTTTTATACATAAAATATTATATGATGCAAGCCATTCACTTATTTTACCTCCCAAAATGACAGTTACTATAAAAAAATATGCATACAGCAGCAAAACTTAAAACTTCAAGCACTGTTGGTGGCATATTTTCATATAATAAAATGTGTTAAAAATGAATCCACATTAAAAAAATTTCTTTTAGAGCATATTACTGCTCTTTGTAAAGCAAAATAAAAATATCTGCTTTCTGATTCCTGCTGCTGCTGCTGCTGCCTAGAGACACGGCTAACAGTGAGAGCCGTACTCACCACCTTCTTAGCCAATCTTCTCGTGAGTCACTGAGTAAAAGAAGTTGCATATGGTCAAATGAATCTTATAAGCAAAAATCTATAATCATATTAATTTTTCATGGTGACCAAGAATTTTTATAATAAAAACTTATTGTTTTCAATACTGTGACCTATTTTTTAATGTATAAAATGACCAGTATATAAAAACAATGAAACACACATACAATGGTCACATTCCATAGAAAAACAGTTTGAAGAATGAGACACTTTCTCTCTCAAATGTAAAGTTCCAGTCCAGACAAGTGCCTACAAATGCACTCACAGATCACTGCTTTACAAACTATTTCATCATAATGAAAGAAAATTACAGACTAAATAGCACATGCTTCCTATGAGTACCAAGCACACATAATACTTCACAAAAGCACCCAGATCACTGACCAAACCTCTGTCAGGGAAGTCAGCCTGAGCACACCTAAGAATGCTGACTGAGAAAATGTTAAAAAACTACACCATCATGAAAGGATTCTTATACGAGAGGGAAAAAAAAGTACTCATTCTTTAAAGTTATTTTTCTCTTTACATGAAGGCCCAGTTATGGCAAGTGACTACAGTAATAGGAATGGAAGTCTATGGAAAAAAAGGTCCATCCACAGCATGCACGGCAGATTTATCCAACCCAGGTTCTAAAAACTGACTGGAATAAATAAGCCAGAAAAAGAACATAAAGCACAACATGAGGAAAGATTTCTGATCAATTCTTTAAACTACACAAAACAAGGTAATATCAGAGCTACTGACTCTACACACAAATTGAACATTAAGATAACAGCCTCTTATTGATTTAAGTTTAAGAAAACAATCACAAGTCTTAACATTTTCTGATGGAAGTTGCAAATAAAAGTTCTCAACAAATTCTGAGCAGTGGCACAGAATAAATTTTGTACTGTGTATATCTATTAAACTTGTGAAGGATGAAAATTAATGATGAGCAAGGAAAATCAAAGAAAACATCTTCAAAATCTTATGAACATTAGCAAATAGTTTTGCTACATTATTCAATTTACTTAATAAATTTAAAGCAACTTTTCATTACACTTTAATAAGTTGTAATACTAAAAACATGTACACAGAAGTATGGAAATACCAAATATGTATATATTTTTTTCTTTCCCGGTACTTTTTTTTCAGATTCTTCAAATGAACTATTGTGCACTTTTTGAAGATAATGTAACTGCAATTCAAATGGACCATATATAGTCTTGTTTAAATTTATTGTAATCCTTGGATAATGTTATGAAAATTAAATGCATGAACTTTACTTACATGTCTCAATTGTTAGACAACAACCTTGACTGAAATTGTACTATATTTTATTGACACAGCTCCACAAACCACATGAAGCCATGTGTTTAAGCTTACAAATCTACACTTAAACAAAAGCCATTAATTCAGAGAAGTCACTTCTTCATAATGCTAAATAAAAAGCTTGATTAAATTACATGAAAGAAGAAAATGCAAGTTTCAAGGGAAGCACAAAATAAGAAAACTAGTAAATTTAAATTAAAGAGAAATTTAAAATTCACTAACATCAAGTGAGATAATCAGTTACAGGAGAGATCATTTTATCCTATAATGTTAAGTATTAACATACAGTAGAGAAAAACCTGAATTCTTCTGTCAAAACCAATACTAAGTCAGAACATCCTGAGAGACGACAGAAAAACAATTTAGGACAAGAGCAAACAAGACAAAAGACAAAGACTACATAAAATCTACTGTCAAGAAGAGAAAAGAAATGACGGCCTAAGAAGAAATTTAAGAGCCCTCCTTCTGTAATAAAATCCAATATTTTATCACAAGAGATGTGCCACAAAAAATAATGGCATTATGTATACACATCTACAAGAGAAAATAAGCTAGAAAAAGTTAATGCTGCTGATCTGGTGCAGCATCTACCCATGAGTAAATATTAAAAAACAAAATTACAGTGGTACCTCAACTTACAAGTTTAATTCGTTCTGTACTGAGCTCGTAACTTCAATTTACTCGTACAGTATATCAAATAAATTTTCCTCATTGAAATTAACTGAAATACCATTAATCCGTTCCTGCGGAATTCCTGGCTCTTGAGAGGCAGGAAAAAATACTTCAATATAACACTAATATCGACTCTACAGCTTATTTATCTATAACAGTTGATCTAATATGACATAATAAACAACATAAATGACACAGAAATATGATACAGGTCTCCCTCAACATTCGCGAGGGTTAGGGGATCAAGAGCCTCGCGAATGTTGAAAAACCGTGAGTGTTTGGTGCCCCAATATATTGTAGGGAAATATAATACAATACTGCTTCCTTAACTTGTTGAACCATGAACAATCATAAAATACATGAAAACGTCGTAAATTGTACTAAATATATACATGTTATGTTTTACTAACATGTATGTTATTAAACCATACCCCCGGCCGGGATTGAACCCGCGGTCATAGAGTCTCAAAACTCCAGCCCGTCGCGTTAGCCACTAGACCAGCTAGCCACAATAAGATTCATCCAACTAGGTATATTTCTACACCATAGGAAGGTTAGCAATCGTGTCATTACGATTTCTTGAGTCATGTATGTTATTAAATACCACAGACTCCTCCACTGCCTCCATCAATGCCTCCACCACTTCCTCAACCACTGCGAGTCCCTACTACCCTCCCTCCCTCCGAGCCCCGCAACTGGCAGCCAGCCCTCCCACCACTCAGTGTGGTGAGTGTTTTGTTTGTTCATTATTTGCTATTAAACTACAGTATAAATAATGTAAACCCATTCATGACTGCATATTGGAATGGCTATTCAGAAAGGTATTGGACGATGACATCATGTGTTTACTCTTGAACACAGCAAAGAATCAAACATTTCTGCTTCTGCTAATAACAACAATAGTAGTAATAATAATAATAATAATAATAATAATAACAATAACTAATAATAATAATAATAATAATAATACGATATAATTGAAGAAGGAAATTGTACAAAAATACGAGGGAGTGGTTGACACATCGTCAGTGTGGCTTTGTTTATGCTGGAGTGAACATTAGTCTCCCTGCTCTTCCAAACATTTCACAATAATTCAGCAGTTGAGGCAGTGGTATTTAATAACATATATGTTATAAATAATAATAGTACATATTATTAATAACATGTATATTATTATTATTAATAACATGATGTTATTAAATACCACTGCCTCAACAGCTGCCTCAACCACTGCCTTAATCGCTGCCTAACAGCTGTCCCCCTGCTTAATCGCTGCCTCAACAGCTGCCTCAATCGCTGCCTCAACAGCTGCCTCAATCCGCTCAACGCTGCCTCACCCACTGCCTCAATCGCTGCCTCAACAGCTGCCTCAACCGACTGCCTCACACGCTCTGCTCTCACCCACATGCCTCAATCGCTGCCTCAACAGCTGCCTCAACCACTGCCTCAACTATCGCTGCCTCAACAGCCACACTGCCTCAATCCGCTACGCCCATCAATTGCTGCCTCAACCACTGCCTCTACCACTCCAGTCACACTCAATCTACAAGCACCAAACACAATGAATTATTGTGAAATGTTTGGAAGAGCAGGGAGACTAATGTTCACTCCAGCATGAACAAAGTCACACTGACGATGTGTCAGCCACTCCCTCGTATTTTGTACAATTCCTTCTTCAATTATATCGTATTTTTTTTATATTATATTATTATTAATTATTTTATTATTACTATTGTTATTATTAGCAGTAGCAGAAATGTTTGATTCTTTGCTGTGTTCAAGAGTAAACACATGATGTCACCGTCTAATACCTGTCCAAATAGCCATTCCAATATGCAGTCAAGAATGGGTTTACATTATTTATACTGTAGTTTAATAGCAAATAATGAACAAACAAAACACTCACACACTGAGTGGTGGGAGGGCTGGCTGCCAGTTGCGGGGGTCGGTGGGAGGGTAGTAGGGACTCGCAGGTGGCGGGAAACTTGAATATGATTTGGCGGCTGGGAATTTGGCGGTTGGGAATTCGCGAATGTGTGAAGCCCGCGAAAGCTGAAAACGTGAATGTTGAGGGAGACCTGTATATACTCTAGAATGAATAAAATATGACATTATGTGACAAGTGGTGGCGGCCACTCCCGAGGTAAAAATAATCGCTCCAACCATATCTTCCAATTCTTGCCCTTCTGAGGTCTTATTACAAGAGAAAATGGAGTGTTTGTGAAGCTAACTGAACTAGATCACTAGCTTCATAAGGAAAACACTGAAACAAAAGTAATTTTCTCATGTTTTTCTATGATTTCATGCTTTAATTCAATAGACATCATACAGTTCTTCTCAGCACTGTCCTTTGCACTTACTTTCTTAAGACCCATGGTTAGAAAAAAGAAATTTGGCAAAACAACTGCACATAAAGCACAAAACGCTGGGATGCTGGGTGGATGTGTGTTTGCTGTGCCAACTAGTGGCGGCGTATCTGAAGCTTGCTCGAAACTCAGATTTTGGCTCGCAGCTCAAAGCAAAAAGTTGACCATGCGACAGCTAATAACTCGGAAAACTCATAAGTTGGGGCACTCATAAACCAAGGTACCACTGTACTTAAAGATGCTGAAAAGATGTAAAAATAAGCATAGCAGTACATCTGCCCATTATGAAGCTATTTTCTTTATTGTAATACCTATAACATACCCTCAGTTGCCACTTTATTAGGTACACCCTTCTAGCACTGGGTAGGGGCCTCCTTTCTTCCCCCTCCCCAGAACAGCATGAATTCTTTGTGGCATGGATTCAACAAGACTCTGGAAACATTCCTTAGAGATTCTAGTCTATGTGACATGACAGCATCACACAGTTGCTGCTGATCTGTCAGTTGCACATTCATGCTGTGAATCTCCCATTCCACCACAAACCAAACTTTTACACCAAATTCTAACCCTACCAACGACATGTCGCAATGGAAATTGTGACTCATTAAACCAGGCGACATTTTCCAATCTTCAACTGTCCAGTTTTGGTGAGCCTGTCCCCCTTATAGCCTCACTTTCCTGTTCTTAGCTGACAGGAATGGAACCTGATGTAGTCTTCTGCTGCCGTATCCCATCCACTTCAAGGTTTGACACATTGTATTCAGAGATATTCTTCATACCACTGTTGTAACACATGGTTATTCAAGTTACTGTCACCTTCCTGTTAGCTTGAACCAGTCTGGCTATTTTCCTCTGACCTCTCTCATTAACAAGACAGTGTCACCACAGAATTGCTGCTCATTGGATGCTTTGTGATTTTAGATCATTCTCTATAATCTCTAGAGATTGTTGTGCATGAAAATCCCAAATCAGCAGTTTCTGACATACTCAAACTGCCCCATCTAGCACCAACAATTATTCTACAGTTGAAGTCACTTAGATCACATTTCATCCCCATTCTTATCTTTGGTCTGAACAACAAATGAAATGCTTGACAATGTCTGCATACTTTTAGGCATTGAGGTGCTGCCACATGAATGGCTGCTTAGATATTTGCATTAATGAGCAGGTGTACAGGTGTACCTAATAAAGTGGTCACTGAGTATATATTTTGGTATTCAGTCAACACTGATTCAAGCCATAAAAAGGAAAATTTCCTAAACAGCCTCAGGTATGCTTAGAAAATAAGAAAGATGTGATGAAATGAGATAACTGCTACTATACCTGAAGAAACAATAGTACTGATCAGAAATCTTCCAAGGATTTCAATGTCTGACTTCATCAGCAAACTCAACATGATGCTTGAACTGCAGGAAACTTATTAGGGCATCATATTTGCCAAATTTGAAATTATAACTATGTCCAGGTATTTGGTTTTAACTTTTAATTTAGGCATTTCTTTTAAGAACCAATTTCTCAATTTTTCAGTGAATGTTTCCATACAATTCAACTCATAATGAACAAAAACTGACAATGATTAACTGGTATGAAGTTTTCTACTGTTATGGACAATGACCTTTCACTGCAAATATATAGTGGTAATGGGAAGCATGTGTAGTCTTGAACCATTTCTTTATCCTCCATTAAGCAGGAATATTCTTAGGCATTTGTCAAGACTGGATCTCCTTATAGAAAATTTGTATGTGATGGAAAAGAGAAGTCATACAATTCTGACCAATTAAAATGCTGTACACAATTATTCATACCAATGTTGGCACACATGGATTAAGGATATCACAACAGGAAAATAAATAATGATTCAACATTTTCAGAAATATTCTTTAGGAAACTTACATTGTACTAGTAGGCTCAGGTTTTCTAGGTGAAGTTGCCTCCGTAACCTCATTGAAGGACTTGTTGGTCATGTGCCGTGCAAGCAGCAACTGTGCAGTTCCCACCTTTGGAAAAGCAAAGAAATAAACTATCAGCATACATGATACCCAGCAAAGTATCATGAAAACAACACCACAATACAATATTATACTCCTTCAGCATCCATAAGCTTAGTATTCACAAATTCTCCTATCTGTGAGTTTTTGTTTTGATACCTTATTGCCCATAAGTAAAGAGTCAGTTTGTAGATCAGTGACTCGTGTACATTAGTCCCCACACACTGTGTGTTGTTAAGATAAGATAAGATAAGATTTCGTTCGGATTTTTAACCCCGGAGGGTTAGCCACCCAGGATAACCCAAGAAAGTCAGTGCGTCATCGAGGACTGTCTAACTTATTTCCAGATGTAAGTTGCACCAACATACCATGTACTTCTACTGACTATGTTTTATAGTTACTGCTTTATTATATGAAAAACCCTTATACATGTACTAATGTTTCTTCAGCCAAAGAAACCCACTTAAGATCTCTAAACTAAATATGGGATTCTCCAGTATCTTTAGTTCAGTGAGGGAGCACTGAATATTGGGGAGGCATACAGTATAACCAAGTTGAATTTACACACCGTATGATATTACTAATTCTCAATGTCTCCAAAAGGGACACAAATAAAAAAAAAAAGAGCAAGATACCAATAGGAAAAAGATACAACCCACAATGATGAAATGAATTAATGACAACAATCAAACACACATTTGAATGGATTCTATAACCATCAGAGGAAAGGTAGAGAACTTATACAACCATTTGAAGCAGTAAATTGTCATTTGGAGCACTGGAATTTTGCACAACCAATGGTTGTTTGACATGATGAGACATGCTCATACATAGTGTGGTATAAGTTGCTTAACCATGAATAATTTTCTGTCCATCATTCAATCCTGTATAACAGAAAAAAAGGGCTAACACTACAGAGAACAGAATTTCTACTAAACTGCAAATCAGTCAACTCACTACAGCACCCAGTTCATTAAAATAATTTTTCCCAAACTGCTGAAGCCAAAAATAAAATAATTATTTTCAGTAAAACAATTTTTGAACTCTTGTATATATTCATTGGGAAGTGCAAAACCCATAAGGTTCATACAGCACCTGGGGAATGGAAGGCAATCAAGTTTGATCCAAGGAAGGGAAGGACAGTTCCAATATCTTGGATCAAGAACCCTTCACCAGCATTGACACTCCCCTCTTGAAGAGAAGGGAAAACACCATAAGAAAACTTCCAGGCAGGTCTGGTAGTGTTGATCACTGTGCTTCTGCAGGTGCTCAATGTTTACAAGACAAGACTGTTTTAGTGAGGGAGATGCTATGTTTGTAGTGGAACCTTTTTTACAACATTTCTTCCTTGACTGGACTTCATCAAGTATACTTGATAAAGTCATGAGCCCCTTTGAGGATCTGATGAAAGTTATAGATTCTTGCCCCAGGAAAATACACATGCACACACAGTTATTCAAGTAACAAAGGGATTATGAAAAAATAAATTTTTGTTCTAAATTCCTGGACTCCCTGATGTCCAGCCATGGACTTCCCTGATGTCCACCCATGGACCCCCTAATGTCCACCCATGGACCCCCTAATGTCCACCCATGGACCCCCTAATGTCCACCCATGGACCCCCTAATGTCCACCCATGGACCCCCTGATGTCCAATCATGGACCTCCTGATGACCAACAATGGTGGTCCCTAGGAGTCCATGGACCACTGGTTATCCAATGTTTCTACAGGTGAAAGGTTTGACTGACAATAGAAACTTGAAAATAAATGAGATCATAATGCAGTATAAGATTATTATTACATTAATAGGGGAGATCTAAACCTGCAGGGACTACACAAGACTTACAGAATCAGAAGGCTTTGCAGTACACCCACATGCACATACATGCGTGCATGTGTTTGTGTGTGTGGGTGAGTGGGAGGGGGGGTTACCAAACATTCTGAGAAAAAACATAAGACTAGGACATAATGAGCTGTTTCTCATGATCAAATTGAGCAACAGTTTGTGCTTAACCCCTAAACTGTCCAAACATAGATCTACATTTGCACTGCTAGCGCTCCGAACATAGATCTACATTTTTTATATTTGAAAGCATGTAAAACGAAACGTAGATCTACGTTCGGAGCACTAGTGGTGCAAACGTAGAGCTATGTTTGGACAGTTGGAAGGTTAAAACAGGATTCAAAGTGGGCAAAATTTCCAGTGTAAATTGCACCCATACTGCCAACTTTCCTCCTGTGTAATTCCTTACCTTTGAAGTCTATATTAACCCTATCACTGTTGGTGCAAGAGAAAGCAAGCATAATATAAGAAGGGCCTGGAGATGTGACTAATGAACAGAGAAAATGTTATTTTAGTGCTAGGAATGTCTGCATTGTTTATTCTGGACCCTATTTTGAAATTGGCCTTACCTGAATTGTGTATGAAATTGGCCAAATTACCAATTTCTGATCACTTTATTGGGTAGTTGAAATCAGTAAATGAGTGGTTTCTTGTACTCAATCGATAGAACAAATGGAGTTCTAGTGAAATAGCTACGAGTTTGATTGACTGGAATAATGAAATTAGCCGAAAATAGGTCTCAAAGTGGGCAAAATCGCCCACATACTTTTGGTGTCATTACCATGGGGAAAAGATTCCCTCTCATTTCATAAGATTTTTTTTTTTTTTTAATTTTTCGACACTGAGAGCAAGTCTGTGAGCAGGGGTCTTGACAGTGAAAGGGTCAAACTGCATCTGCCACTTCTCCAACTACTGCATCAGTCTATTCAAATCTTCCTAGAGTGCTCTAATGTCCTCGTCAGAATGAATTCGATGGCCTATTTTGGCGTTATTGGCAAACTTGCTTATGTCGCTCATCAGTCATTTTTGTAAATTGTGAATAACACAGGGCCCAACACTGACCCCTGTGGAACACTGCTTGTGGCACACCCCCACTCTGATCTCTACCCATTTATGCAAACTCTCTGCTGCCTATCTGTCAACCATGCCTCCATCCAGGCAAAAATTTCCCTTCCTATTCCATGTGCCTTAATTTTCCTCTATAGCCGTTGATGTGGAATTCTATCAAAAGCCTTACTGAAGTCCATATACACAATATCATATTCATTACCATGATCTACCTCCTCAAACACCTTAGTGAAAAAAGTCATTAAATTCATGAGGCAAGAACGTCTTTTGCAAAATCGTGCTGAGATTCATTACTCAATTTATGCCTTTCAAGATGGCTACGAATTGCCTCAGCAATTACCAATTCCATAAATTTTTCCACTATGGAGGTTAGGCTTATTGCTCCATAGTTCGAGGCTAAGGACCTATCTCCTGCTTTGTAGATAGGTATTACATATGCCATTTTCCACCTATCTGGCACTATGCCAGTTTGTAGTGATATGTTGAAAAGATAAGCCAAAGGTTTGCTAAGTTCCTCTTTCTATCCCTTTAAAACCCTTGCAAACAGTTCATCTGGTCCTGGGGATTTTTTAGGTTGTAATTTATCTATTCATCTGAAGACCATGTCACTAGTTACCCTAATCACGCATAGTTTATTATCGCCCTGTTCTATATAATTTATAATTTCTTGAATTCCACTAGTATCTTCCTGGATAAAAACTGAGAGAAAGTGTTAAAATTTCTACACAATTTCCATATCACTGTTGGTGAACTGCCCCGAGTTACTTTTGAGTGGGCCTATCTTGTCCCTAATCTTACTTCTATAAACTGAAAGAAACCTTTTGGGTTAGTCTTCAAATCCCTTGCAACTTTAGCTTCATATTCTTTTTACTTTTCTTATTCCCTTTTTCATTTCTCTTTTTAACTGAATATACTCATTTCTTAACTGCCCCTCCTCTCTTTTGATTCACTTATATATGCCTCTCTTTTGACCACTGAGATGTTTAATCTATTGTTAATCCATAAATGCCACAAAGACCTCTTTAGCCTTATCTAAATACTGTTCACTTATATGTTTCACTGTAAACACCTGGTCCACACACCCCCTACCTTTCCTAAAGCCTCCTTGTTCATCTGCTATCCTATTCTCCGTCTTACTCTTAATTCTTTCAATAATAACTCTACCATACACTTTACCAGGTATACTCAACAGACTTATCCCCCTATAATTTTTGCACTCTCTTTTGTCCCCTTTGCCTTTATACAAAGGAACTATGCATGCTCTCTGCCAATCCCTAGGTACCTTACCCTCTTCCATACATTTATTAAATAATTGCACCAACCACTCCAAAACTATATCCCCACCTGCTTTTAACATTTCTATCTTTATCCCATCAATCCCGGCTGCCTTACCCCCTTTCATTTTACCTACTGCCTCACAAACTTCCCCCACACTCACAACTGGCTCTTCCTCACTCCTACAAGATGTTATTTCTCCTTGCTCTATACACGAAATTGCAGCTTCCCTATCTTCATCAACATTTAACAATTCCTCAAAATATTCCCTCCATCTTCCCAATACCTCTAACTCTCCATTTAATAACTCTCCTCTTCTATTTTTAACTGACAAATCCATTTGTTCTCTAGGCTTCCTTAACTTGTTAATCTCACTCCAAAACTTTTTCTTATTTTCAACAAAATTTGTTGATAACATCTCACCCACTCTCTCATTTGCTCTCTTTTTACATTGCTTCACCACTCTCTTAACCTCTCTCTTTTTCTCCATATACTCTTCCCTCCTTGCATCACTTTTACTTTGTAAAAACTTCTCATATGCTAACTTTTTCTCCCTTACTGCTCTCTTTACATCATCATTCCACCAATCGCTCCTCTTCCCTCCCGCACCCACTTTCCTGTAACCACAAACTTCTGCTGAACACTCTAACACTACATTTTAAAACCTACCCCATACCTCTTCGACCCCATTGCCTATGCTCTCATTAGCCCATCTATCCTCCAATAGCTGTTTATATCTTACCCTAACTGCCTCATCTTTTAGTTTATAAACCTTCACCTCTCTCTTCCCTGATGCTTCTATTCTCTGTGTACCCCATCTACCTTTTACTCTCAGTGTAGCT